TCAACATTTAAAAGTGCTTTTCAGCCTTAATGCTTATCAGCTAAGCCAAACAAGTAGTGATATTATACTATGTAGGAGGTGGGATAGATAATCCCATCGGATATTCTAGAATTATAATCTCATGGGATATCTCAAAACTGAACCAAACAACTTAGGAGTTATTATTTGGTTCATATGTGGGATAGACAAGAATATCCTATTGGTTTGGATATCACATGAGATTAGCTAGGGATGGCTAATCCCAACATTTTGGTAAATATTTTATCCTAAATACCCATAATCAAATATTGAATAAATATAATCTCATATTTTATTCTGAAATTAGTATCCTTATTGTTTAACCAAAAAATAGATTTCTCGATCAAAGTCTATATTTAAAAGAAAACGGGTTACTGATAACCAGGTTTTACTTCCCTTTCACAATGATATTTAAGAAAAATAATTAGAATGGCAGAGAAAATTTATTAAAAGAAATAAGGAATAAATTGATGGTCAAATTATAAAATCAAGGCTGAGAAATTCGAGAAAGCAGAGAAGTAAAGAATATATTTCAATAGTACTTGGGATCCGTCCTTACAAATAAAATTTTGTATCCTTATATAGGAGTGTACAATCATAACAGTTTTCTCACATAATTTTGGTTTATTATGAGCATTCATTGTATTGATTGCCCATTATCACAGATAGCCGTAACTGCGTATTTATTTCTATAAATACCCTATAACTATTTCAATTCCCCTTCATTATTTACTTCCGGTTCATGTATCTTCCCTTCTTTTTGATCCTTGTTCATTTCGTCCACGCCTTTTCTTTGGCAACTGTTAGGCCCAGTTCTCTTCTTTGCACTGTCCCGTGGGTGTTTCTCCCGTGCCTTCCACTCTCAATTAATACTATTAATTGAGGACGCCACTTCTCGCTATATTACTGATCCACGTGTCACGCTTCGTCAGCAGACTAAGATTCCACGTGTAACGCCCTTTTCCCATCATTACAGATAGTCCCCCCGCTTTCTGAATATTCTCTACTGAATATTCAGGAAGTGGAAAGATTTTATGGCAGGAACTTCTGCCACCGTTTTTCGGATATAATCATGTCCTCTTCAGAACCGATGTGATGTACATCACATCTATTTAATGCTCATGCCACGTGGCTTCAATCTATTGGTTCTATAGTTTCTCAGCGCTTTTAAGGGTTTTTCTACGGCCCCGTCAGTCAGGAAGTGACGGTTCTATTATGACACTTCATTATGATCAACTTTAACAATAGTCGTGTCTTCTTATAAATACTCCATACTTTTTTGATTTCTTGAAGTCATTCCTCTTCCATCACCTTCTTCTTTCTCTACATTTTTCTGTGTCTTTCTTCTGTATCTCTTTGAACAATCATGTCTTCCCCAGATCCCCGTAAGGTTGTGATTGTTGACGAGTTTGTTCCTTCTAATGCTCCCACTAGAAGTAGGAGGGGTGGTAGGCTTCGTAGTCTTGGTTCAATATCCAACCGTGGTTCCTCTTCTCAGAGTAGTGCTTCTAAGCCATCTTCCTCTAGGCCTAGGGCTCCTTTAACCCCTAGATCTTCTTCTAGAAATAGAGACTCAACTGATCCTATGCGTGAACCCACAGTTGCAGAGATTGTTCCTCAAGAATTTTCTTTTGCAACTGATCGTGAAACCATAATAAACCAAGTTTCTTCCATGGCCTCCCTCAATCCTGCTGACCTTTACCCGAGTTTGATTAATACTGGGTCTTCTTTCCCTCATTCTAAGAGACTGTTACTGGAAACAAGATTCCCTGTTTTAGTTCCAGGTGCCAACCAGAGAATTACTTCCTACCATGCTGGTTTTTCTTTTGTTTACACCTACCCCTTCACTTTAGGGTTCAAACCCCGTATAGATCCAGTAATCCTTGAATTCTGCCGCTATTTCAACGTGTGTCTTGGCCAGATTGGCCCCATAGTATGGAGGTCTGTTGTATGCCTTCGTTATTTAGCAGAACTGGTTTCCGTACCTTTTACTTTTCAGCACTTGCTTCACTTGTACTCCCCAAAGCTATTTCGTGAAGGTGTCTTTACTCTCGTGGCTAGAAGTAAGAGAGTTTTGGTTAGTCCGGAAGATGATCGGGATCGTGGCTGGTATGCTCGTTTTGTTGCTACTCTTACTAGTGGATTAGTGGGCGAAGAAAACATGCCTTTCCCGGAGAAATAGAATTTGCACGTAAGCTTTTTCTCTTTTATTTTTGAAATATCTCAAAAGGTTTAATTATAATCAAATACCCAACATTTCAACATCCATGGAAGTTTTTGATGAAATTCCCAACTTCCGTGCTGAGGTATTAAAGATGTTGACAACTGCACCTATGGAGAAGAGGTCCTGGAAATACCTTGCTCAAAAATTTGGTGGGAAAGTGAATATGCACGGTAATTTTTTCCTTTATTGTTTCTTCCTTTTCCTCCCTTGTTTATTCAAGATTTTCCCATCTTTCCCCCTTTTATTTATTAGGGTTTCCCATTGGAGGATTTAGTCCCGCGTCTGTTCCCTCATTTTCTGTGAGTCTTTTTAGGAAAGAATTTTATGTACTTCTTCTTCTAAAAGGAAAACTGATGGAGCCCGTGGCTCTGAGGGTGAAGAAGAGACAGATGAGGGTTCTTTAGTGTGAAGACCACGAGTCAGGAAACGCATAATTTCTGATGATGAAGCTACTCCTTCTCATGACCCTCCAACAAGTTCAGTCCCTTTTAGACTCTTGGATGAGCCAGAGAGTGCTCCTTTAGTGGTTTCTGATGATGATGTTGTTGACCCTCCCCCAGGTTCTGTTGATAGATTGTTTGCTCATGGCTTCGAGGGTGATGAAACTTCTTGGTCTATTTCCGAGGAATTTCCTCTTGCTACCCTTCCAGTTTCGGTTTCCATTACCCCTCCCGTGTCTTTACCTGTTGCTTCTCCTACTGTTCTCCCGTGGCTGCCTCCACTTCGTCTGCTATTCCCGTGGTTGCTTCCATTGCAGAGACTGGACCCTCTAGCAGCTGGATGACAATGAAAAGAGTTGTTGTTGAGGTTCCTGAAGGTAGGAGTTTACTAAAGAAATCGGGTCAAGTTGATGTGTGATTAAAGCCCTTGATTGGCCCCGTAGAGAAGAAGAAGTTAGAAAGCCCTAGCTCACTGACTTGGATGAATGATATCATTCATTCTTCTTTAAAGGTACAGTCTTAATTATACTTCCTTTCTTTTCTCTTTCTTATTCATAAATCTTCCTTATTTTTTGAAGATCAACTTGATTGGCACAGTGCTTATGAAAAGAATTTCTCAAGCGGAGCAACAAGTTGTAAACTTTCGCACAGAGGCTGACAACTGGAAGGGACAATTCGAAGGTCTACAACTGGAGAAAGAAGTTCTGGCGGAAGAAAAGAGTGCTTTGGAGCAACAAATGAAGGTGGTTACTGCTGAATTAGCAGTTGAAAGGCTTCTTCTATCCAAGTTGGAAAGGACAAGGATATACTTGAGTCCTCTTTTGGTGAACAACTTTCCTAGGCAACTGAAGAGATAAGGGGTTTGAGGGAACTACTTAATCAAAAAGAGATTTATGCGGGAGAATTGGTTCAAACACTTACTCAAGCTCAAGAAGATCTCCGTGCCTCTACTGATAAGATTCAGTTCTTGAAAAGTTCTCTCGCTCCTTGAAGACAACTTATGATGCCTCTGAAGCAAGAAAAGAAGAGCTGAGAGCTGAAATTGACCAGTGGGAGAAGGACTATGAGATTCTTGAGGACAAACTGTCACTGGATGTGAGCTGGGCTTTTTTAAACACTCGCCTTGAGACTCTAATGGAAGCCAACTAGGAGGGTTTTGACCTTAATTCTGAGATTGTTAAAGCTAAAGAAGCAATTGATAAAACTCAGCAACGTCAAAGTTTTTCTTCACCTGAAGACGAAGGTCCCGAGTGTGATGGAAATGGACTTGTTCCTGAAGAAGCTGATGTTCAAGCCTCTTTTTCTCAAGTTAATCCTTCTTCTCCCATTGATGAAACTCCCGTAGATGTTGCCCCTTAGTTGTTTCTTGCTTTCATGTTTGTTCAACTTTTGGGAAGTTTGTTGTTTTTTTTGGAAGGTTGTTTTTTGGTTACCCCCATCTTTTTTGGGGGTTTACAAACAAGTACCTCTGTTTTCCCCAAAGTTTAATATATGTGTTTCACTTACTTTTACCGTTTATTTTGCTCTTTGATTTGAGCTTTTATTTTGCTCTTTGATATTTGAGCTTGCATTTTAAAATGCTTTAATAATCCGTAATTTTGATAAACACGAGTTTTTATAAAAGAGGGCCCTTTTATATAAGAGACACTGATGAAGATGACGTCTCATCTTCATATTGGTGTAAATATATGAAAGACGAAATAGACAAAAAGGAAACAATTTGAGGAAGTTTCATGCTTTGAACTTTCAAATAAATTTCGTATATGATTTTCTCTATTATTCGTACAATACTTTCACAACTTCTTTCTTTGTAGCAAATTTTGAGATACAAAATCAGGTTTATTATCCCGTGACTAAATTTTGGCCTTAGCCTAAAAACTCGTGGGAACTTTGAACGTATCTTGTATCCTTCTTGCGAGTTCACACCTTCTCAAGGTTGCTTCAAGGTTTTTGATTCAAGCTTGATTTTTGGCTCTTTTGCTTCTTTGTCTATATGTATAGTCCCCCCAGTGTAAGAGTTTTGAAGTATGAAATCTTGAACTTTGGATTGCTCCTTCTTTTTGGTCCATTCCTTGAAAAGAAAAATACACACGGGACTCGAAGATATATGTATAGATGATGACTGCCTAAACTTTTTTTCCATCAGAAAGGTTGTAACCTAGACCGAGAATAATTCAGTATTCAACGTGTCTTTCAGTCTAATATCATCATTTGGTACGGACTAGCATTTCGCGTATCATCTAAAATTGTTAGTAAAATTAAAAAAAACAAAATAAAATTATATCTGAGTGATACCTGACCATGGGTACTTCCTTTGTCTAAAAATAATACTTCTTCAAATGAACAACGTTACAATTCGATGGTAGTATGCTGCCATCCATGGTCTCCAACTCATATGCTCCCTTTCCAGCGATGCCTCGAACCATATAAGGTCCTTCCCAATTTGGACTTAACTTTCCCGCATTAGCCGTTTTCGTTGATCGAAACACCTTTTTGAGGACGAAGACCCCAATCTTGAAGTACCTTAGATTTGCTTTCCTGTTGTAATATTGCCCAATCATCTGTTTTTGAGCCGCCATCCTTATTAGCACTGCTTCTCTCCTTTCTACTAACAAATCTAGATTCGTTGGCATTTCTTCTTCATTTGATTCCTCAGTAGCATGTGTGTATCTCGTACTTGGTTCACCTATTTCTACTGGAATTAGAGTTTCAGTGCCATAGACGAGTGAAAATGGAGTCTCACCTGTACTTGTTTTTGCTGTTGTTCAATAAGCCCATAATACTCCTGGTACACTTTTGACCACTTGCATTTTGATTCTTCTAACCTTTTCTTCAAATTATTAATAATAACTTTGTTTGTTGACTCAGCATGCCATTGTCTACGAGATGGTAAGGCGCAGATGTAATCCATTTAATCTGCCAACTTTGAAAGAACTCTGTGATTTTAGTGCCTACGAATTGTGGGCCATTGTCACACACGATTTCCTTTGGAAATCCAAAATGCCAGATAATGTTTTGCCAAATAAAGCCCCTGACTTCTTTTTCTCGCACCTATTTGAAAGCTCCTGCTTCTACCCATCCGTTAAAACTAATAGAAAACGTACCTTTCCTTTAGCTTGAGGTAACAGACCTACGATATCCATGCCCCACTTCATGAAAAGCCATGGTGAGATAACTGAATGTAACAATTCTGCTGGGCGATGCATGTTATTGGCATATCGTTGACATTTATCGCACTTGGCTAAAAAGTTTTCTGCTTTCTCCTCTATTTTTGGCCAATAGTTTCCCGCACTTATTAAAGTCTTCACCAATGATCTTCCCCCAGTATGATTGCCGTAGTTCCCCTCACGTACTTCCCTCATCACATATTCTGTTTGTGAGGGACCAACGCACCATTCTAAAGGTCCACCGAACATCTTTCGGTATAAGTTTCCACGAATTAAACAATACCGAGTGGCTTTTTGGTGAAGTATCTGTGACTTCTTCTTGTCTTCGGGTAAGATTCCATACTACAAAAAGTTGACAAACTCGTTCCTCGAATCCCAAGTTAAATTATTAAAATTTACCTCGTCCTTGTCTTGGTCAAGTGCCGAATGAAACAAATGTATTACAATAGCATTCTCTACCTTTGTTATCTCCATAACAGACGCGAGATTGGCTAACGCATCCGCCTCTGCATTCTCCTCCCTGGGTATTTGGACAGCCTTCCATGATTGAAATTGTCTGACCAATTCCCGTACCTTTTCCAGGTATTGTTGCATTCGTGCTTCTCTTGCTATGTAAGTCCCCTGCATTTGGTTAACTACTAGCTGCGAGTCACTTTTGATTACAATCTGTTCTATGCCAAGTTCTCGTGCTAATTCCACTCCTGCAATCACAGCTTTGTACTCTGCTTCATTGTTAGTAATGGGATAACATTTTATTGCTTGTCTTATGACTTCCCCTGAAGGCAAAATTAAAACAATACCTAGGCCCGCTCCTTAAACATTCAAGGAACCGTCAGTAAATAAAATCCAAGTCCCCGAATCAGATCTGGTAAATACCTCTAACTTTTTTTCTTCTTCAGGAATTAAATTCGTGCTAAAATTTGCTACGAAATCTGCTAAAATCTGCGATTTTATTGCAGTTCTAGGCTGATATATGATATCATACTCACTGAGTTCTATTGCCCACTTAGCTAACCTACCAGATAGCTCTTGTTTATGTAATATATTCCTTAGGGGGAAAGCAGTTATTACAGAGATATGATGATATTGAAAATAAGGTCTCAACTTTCTAGATGCCATATTTAACGCTAAAGCAAGCTTTTCTAGATGAGGGTATCGTGTCTCAACATCTAACAAAGATTTACTAACATAATATATTTAAGATTGTTTAACTTTATCCTCTCATACGAGCACCGCACTTACCGCCACTTCTGCCACAACAAGGTAGATAAGCAGCCTTTCTTCGTTTTTTGGTTTGGTTAGCAAAGGCAGATTTGACAGATACGATGATTTTGAAATAAATGGGCTGTTATTCTTCATGTTAATCTCTGCACTTCTTTTTTGCTTGTGAATAGATCCAGTATTTCCTCGATAGCTTTGATTTGTGCATGATTTGCTTCAGTTCCCCTGTTAGAAACAAGAAAACCTAAAAACTTGCCTGAAGATACCCCAAAAGCACATTTTTCTGGATTTAGCTTCATATTGTATTTGCGGAGAATCTAGAAGGTATCTGACAGATGTTGGAAATGATCTCCCGCCTATGCTGATTTGACTAGCATATCGTCAATGTAGACTTCCATAGTCTTTCCCAGATGTTCTTGAAACATTTTAGTTACCAATCTTTGGTACGTGGCTCCAGCATTTTTTTAGACCAAAGGGCATAACTTTGTAACAGTAAATTCCCCTGTCTGTGATAAAGGAAGTTTTTTTTCATCTATAGGATCCATCTTTATCTGGTTATATCCTGAGTATGCATCTAATTAACTTAACATCTCATGTGTTGCGGTAGAATCAATTAGTTGATCTATGTGCGGCAAAGGGAATGAATCTTTAAGACAAGCTTTATTTAAGTCAGTATAATCTACACAAATTCGCCATTTCCCATTCTTTTTTGGTACTACCATAGTATTAGCTAGCCAGTTAGGATATTTTACCTCTCGTATTGACCCAATTTTTAAAAGCTTTTGTACCTCATCCTGGATCACTTGATTTTTGAAGGATCCCTGCTTCCTCTTCTTCTTCTTGACAGGTGGATTGATGGGTCCTCATTCAGTTTGTGAGTCATCACCTCCGGTTGTATACCTGTTATATCTGAATGCGACCAAGCAAAGCAATCTGCGTTAGCTTTTAAAAATTCAATTAACTTACCTTTCATTTTTGTGCTCAGGTTTGCTCCACTGTAAACTTATCTGTATGGCTAGTGTTTAAATAGCACCACCGCTTCAATTTCTTCAGTAGTTGTATTAATATTTTCAGTTTTTTCTGGCTCTTGAATAACATCGGGTCTCGAATCAACATCAGTTTGTCCTGGAATGCCTTTTGTTGAGGTTTGTATTACAACATCCTCAACTGAACTCTGTAACTGCTATTTTTTGCCTGCAATCTCATTTATCGTGCTGGTAGCCACCACTGAATTGATACTTCTAGAAGCTTGTTGATCTCCACGGATGAATTCCCCACTATGAAGGAAATTTGATAACTTGATGCAATCTGGACGGTACAACATCCATATCGTGAATCCATGGTCTTCCCAAGATTATATTATAAGCCATATCTGCATCTATCACCTGAAACTTTGTGTCCTTGATAACCCCTTCTGCAAACGTAGCAAGCACTACTTCCCCTTTTGTGATAACACTTGAATTATCAAGTCCAAACAAAGACCGTGCCTTTGGAATCACCTTGTCCTTAGCTTGCATTTATCCACCACTCTTAGTAAAATGATATTCATGGAACTGCCTGGGTCAATCAAAACTTGTTTTACATTAGTATCGTGTACAAGTAAAGATATTACCAGTGCGTCATTGTGAGAAATCATCAAGCCGTCCACATCCTCGTCATCAAATGTTATACTGTCTCCTTCCAAGGCTCGGCGTATTCACTTCCCACGAGCGACTGACTTTTGACATCTTCTTCATAGCTGTATAAGTCAGACCATTGACCTAGTCTCCCCTAGTTATTACGTTAACTATTCTTTTTAGAGATGGGGGTTTCGGGGGTTCTTGTCGGTTCTTTATATATGATTTTCTACCATTCTCGCTGAACAAGTCAGTTAGATAGCCTTGCTTCAACAAATGCTCGACCTCTCCTTGTAGTAACCTGCAATCTACTGTTCTATGGCCATGATCATTGTGAAATTTACACCAATGATCTGGATTTCTTTTGCTCGGGTATGATCTCATTTCTTTAGGCCACCGTACCTTATATCCCATACCTCTTAAAACGACCACCAACTTAGAGGTACTGACATTAAAACTGTAATCTTCGACTCCCGTATGTGTGCTGGAGTTGCCACATCGTGCATCCCGTTCCTTTCTGAATCTAGATGAGGAACCCGCATCTTTTTGTCTTGATCTCAATTTAGATCGTAAGTTTTCCTATTTGGATAGAGAATCTCGACTTGCAGGACCCATAGAAGGCGCGTACCTATTTTTCCCGGTCCTTTTTTCTGATTCTGAACGTCTTGACCCTGCTCTTTCATCAACCCTTGGTTGTGCAACCGTGTGTTCGTCTATCCGCAACTTTGTGTTGTATCTATTGTACACGTCATTCCAAGTTGTTGCTGAAAAATCTCGCAAACTTTCCTTCATTCTCTTCGTGGCTTCTGAACTTTTCTCGTTTAGATTGCTTGCGAACGGTATGGCTGCCCAATTGTCAGGTACTCGTGGTAACATCAGCCTCTTTCGTTAGAATCTATCCCCAAACTCTCTGAGTAATTATGTGTTTCCTTGTTTTACCTTAAAGATGTATTCAATCCTTTTTTCAACTTTTTAAGCTCCCGAATGTGCTTTTATAAATGAATCTGCAAACTCAGCAAAAGATTCAATAGAGTTTTCAGGTGAGAGAGAATACTACGTTAATGCTTCATTCGTGAGTGTTTCACCAATTTTTTTACCAAAACTGATTCGATTTCTTTCTTGGTTAAATCATTTCCTTTCATGCCAGTTGTAAACGCGGTTACGTGATCTCACGGGTCAGTTGTTCCATCATATTTTGCAATATCATGCATTTTAAACTTCTTAGGAATCGACAAAGGTGCTGCACATGGCTTCCAGGGATGTTGTGAATATTTATCAATATCTACTCCTTTAATCACGAGAGGTATGCTAGGTATTTGTTCTATGTGATCATTTTGCTCTTTCAGTTGTTTCTGCAAAGTTAGTACCAAAATTTCTAAATCATAATTATTTGGTGTACCTGACCTTCCATCACGAGATTCATTGGGAGTTCGTCCGCTTCCAGAATTGGAAAGCCCTGAGTGTGGGTTTTCTATGGTTGCGGTATTGTTTGGAGGAGGAGTTGGTAGCGCAGTTGGCAATCCCCTAACAAAGGCTTGAAGAGCACTGTTCACGTTTTCTGTGATCAATTGTTTTAAAGCGTCTGGTTCGACAGTTTGCTCGTCCCTTTGATGATCATTCGTGTGTGACGTTGATCTTTCAGGTGACCCTGACTGTTGAGGAGATCCTTGTGGAGAAGGGATTGGTGGAGTTCCTCCCTCTTGTGGGTTCAACTGGTTATTTTTGTTGACAATTGACATGGTTAGTTGTCAGAAAGAGAATTTGAAAAGTGAAAAGATTATCATATTACCGGTAACGGAACCAATTTGTTTAACCAAAAAAATAGATTTCTCGATCAAAGTCTATATTTAGAAGAAAACGGGTTACTGATAACCAAGTTCTACTTTATTTTCACAATGATATATAAGGAAAATAATAAGAATGGCAGAGAAAATTTATTAAAAGAAATAAGGAATAAATTGTTGGTTAAATTATAAAATCAAGGATGAGAACTTCGAGAAAGCAGAGAAGTAAATGATATATTTCAATAGTACTTGGGATCCGTCCTTACAAATAAAATTATGTATCCTTATATAGGAGTGTACAATCATAACGGTTTTCTCACATAATTTGGGTTTATTATGGGCATTAATTGTATTGATTTCCCATTATCACATATAGCCGTAACTGGCGTATCTATTGCTATAAATGCCCTATAACTATTCTGATTCTCCTTCCTTATTTACTTCTGGTTCATGTATCTTCCCTTCTTTTGATCCTTGTTCATTCCGTCCACGCCTTTTCTTTGGCAACTGTTAGGCCCGGTTCTCTTTGTTGTACTGTCTCTGGGTGTTTCTTCTGTGCCTTCCTCTCTCAATTAATAGTCAATTAATTCTATTAATTGAGAATGCCACTTGTCACTATATTACTGATCCATGCGTCATGCTTCGTCAGCATACTAACATTCCACGTGTAATGCCCTTTTTCCATCAATACACTTATCCCACTAACTAAACGACTCATTCGTGCTTTGACCCTCTTTGGTTTTGTCTTGGGGTGTACATGGACCAGGTTGATTTGGTTTTTATCAAAACCAAATCAAACCAACTATATCAGTTTGGATTGGTTCGATTTTATCGGGTTTCTCGGGTTTTTCGGGTTTTTTTTGTTACATAAATATCATTTCAATCTTACTTCGTTAAAGTTACAGATAAAGTTTTGATAAGTGAATATATATTTAGTAGAAATTTTTAAAACTGACAAACATCTGATTTATTAAAATATTCTTATGGGAGAATTGTTTTTTAGTAA